CATACTTAATTTTTAAAAAAAATAAATAAATTCCAGGCAATCATTTCAAAATAATCAAAATACAAACTAAAAAGAGTGGAAGAAAATAAAAAAGACAAGTGTTGGAATCTCCGTAAACACATATATTCCATCTTGGGTGGCGTTGGTTCCAAGAGCAAGTGATTCTTGACTTATCAAAACAGAGATACAAAGTAATTTGGAATATCATATTAAAATAACTTATCATTATTTGACCAGACCGATCCTTCTTGCTTGCTTAGCTGTCAATTTGGCAAAAAGAAAAAGGTGTTGGTATAAATATACGAAAGAGTGTCGTTAAAGTTTCACAAAGTAATAAGTTTATGGTATTTTGAAGACAAAAATTAAACTTTAAACATTAAAAAAATTATTAGAAAAGTTTCTTAGTTGTAATAGTTAAGATGTTACATAGTTAATAATAAATAACTATTAATTAAATGAATTTAACATTTTGTCAATGAAAGTAATGTCAGATGATGGATTTCAATGTAAATTTAGATTTTGTTTTAATTAAATGTTTGCTGTAAATTTAACAAAATGACGTTTTTGGGCTCTAATCAAGTTTCAGCAATGCACATTATATCCATTACATAGAGTGATGAAAAATAATTTTCTTTACAATTTTCATAATAATTCGTTGTTAGGTTTAGTGTCATTGTTAACCATAACAAAAGAAAGGATTATAATCATTGTGATTTATTGACTTAATTATACTTTTGGTATTTTTTTATGTGATTGATGCACATCTTTCCATTTATCCTTACTAGCTTAAGCACCATAGTTCGATCTGACTCCAACATATATTAGATCTTGCCAAGTCAATTTTAGAACTTCAAAGCTCAAGAGGGGGTGAATTGAGTTTTATAAAAAAAAATTGAAAATTGCAATTTTGAGAATAGATTTTTTCAAACTTTGATATAAGATAATAAATTCTAGGTGAAAGTTCAAATGTGTAAACAATTAGATATTCTAATATGCAAGTGAACACAAACAAGTAAAGTATTTAAGCGCTTGAAAGTAAATATTTTAGAGTTTAAAAAATTGCAAACACAATTTATCCTGGTTCAAACACCACCACTTGTGACTTACGTCCAAACTGAAACCGCTCGATTAAACCTTTCAGAAATGATCAAGTTTGATGAGTGCTTCACAAACTTCTACAATCCACCAATATTTGACAACTTTATATTTCTCTCCAGATATCTCTAGATCTTTAGCAACCTCTGAAACTCAACGAGTCTCACAATCCTCAAATGGACTAATGTGTTTGACAATATATAAGCACTCTCAAAGTGCATATTATACAACTTGAAAAGCTAGGAGAGTGTATAACTTAGAAATGAGCTCAAGAAACAAATGATCAATAAATAATGAAATCAATGAGTGTAAGCAATTTATGTTGAAAAATTAAGGCTCAACAAATGATGAAACAATGTTCTTTTCAGTTTTAGAGTTTATACAAATAAGTTTATATAAATTACCAACAAAACTATCCCTTTATAAATGTTGGAACCTTTCTTGAACAACTCACATATGGATTATATTGGGGGTACATCCAGATATAAAACCATTGTATATCTAGATATATGAAATCTCATATATGGATATGTGTGTCTCAGGATATGCCAATGGACATACTGGATATATCATGGTAGTTCGAAATTTGATTCCTTTTGAAATAAAATGATTTCCAGCAATATGATCACATGTAAATGAATTAGGAAAACAAGTCGATGTGTCATGCCATATCTATAAATTAAATATCACGTCTGTATCTACTATCAATAATTTATTAGAAAAGTTAAAGAATTTAATCGTTTAAAAATGATCCATAATCAAAGTTACACATTTGCCTCAATATAAAAATAAAAATAAAAATTAAACATATTTCGTATAAACTTATTCTTAAAATTTTATCTTACGTGGAAATTTGTTTCAACTCGTCCGACTTGAGTTTCAACGAGTTTTTTTTTTTTTTATATTATCCATTCTACCAAATTTTAACACCATTATGCTCCATGAGACTTGAACTCGAGACCACTAAATAAGTTAGATAGAATAACTTACTACCGGTTGATCTAGGTGTTTGGTGGTATGAGCTCATCTTTTTAATCTTATCAACTCATTTGATTTGTGTTCTAGAATGAATTTAAAATGGTACAAATGTATTTTGATTATTAATAACTTACTTGGGATTAATATTTATTTGTTACAAAAATACACAAAACATATTTTAGACAAAATTTATTTACCTAACTAATAAATTTACTCATCAATAAAATAAATTTAAGCAAATCACAATTAGACGAGAGAGAAATAACCCATGTCACGAAGACATCTATTAATGGTGTAAGCAATAATTCATCATAATAATCAGTCTAGATATTATATTTCAATTCACAATTTTAAGAAAATAAATATATAGGTCCTTGAGTTATATATTTTTCACTCAATAATTAACGTGAGACTTTACCACTCACACTTCAATTTTCAACAATCTTTTCTAAGTGAGTCTCAACAATCACCTATATGGTTAGCCAAACCATTGACTATGATACAAAAATATTTAAAACTTTCAGTCATCAAGTTCACTCGTTATTCCAATGTGGGATTTTATCCTCATACACCTGAATTTTCAACAATCTTCCCAGTTCCCACTAAAATAAGAGTTTCAACATCTGTATATGCTTTCCTTGAGTTGAAAATTCTTTGAGTATTATTAAGGTTATCAATTTGGAGTCCTTAAATATACCACAAGGGCTTGATGAGACAATAAACACAAACTACACTAACCCCATGATCTAATACTTGACTTAGCTATGTATTATACTTTTATATTTATTTCCAGCAAGGGCTTGAAGAATTATACTTCTCTTTATAATAGGACCAATACACTTTTATTTAAATGTAACAGAATTTTTTTTCTACACACATATAGGGAAGAGAAGAGAGAGAAAAAAAAACTCGGGCCCACACACTTTTATGTATCTATAAAAAATAAAATTATTTCCTACAACTTGAGAGATTTTAAATATATATATATAGGGGCAGGATCCTTTGACACCAGTGTCAAACTTTGAAATTTGACACCAAATCTTAACCGTTGATTTTCGCCAATTAACGATTATCATTTATTGAGAATTACACTTATTAATTAATCATTAATTGTCAATAAATGATAACCGTTGATTGACGGAAATCAACGGTTAGAATTTGGTGTCAAATTTCAAAATTTGACACCGGTGTCAATGGATCCTATCCCATATATATATATATTATGAAAAAAATATTTCTCCAATTACTAGAGACAATGTTATCTTTAGCAACCCCAATGCCACGAAGGAGAGAATTAATGAAGAATATTTTAGAAATTTTAATTTTTTTTGTTATAAATTTTATCAAAATATTCTTGATTAATTACCCTCAAAATAATATAATTTTGGGATTGTTATAAATGCTAAATCAATATATTATATTAGTATGAAAATAATAAATTTTATATTCAATTTTAATCATTAATATATTAGTATTTAAATATTTTAATTTATTAATTAGGTGACTCATTGATAGATATATATATATATATATATATATATATATATATATTAATTATTAATTATTAATTCACAATAAATGATAACCTTTGATTGGCGAAAATCAACGGTTACGATATAGTTGTAAGAGGTTGTAAATGAAAATAAATTGTAAGTATAACCTCTCATACATATATATATATATATATATATATATATATATATATATATATATATATATATATATAATGTGTGAGTACCTAGTGTTATTTAAAAAAAAGAGTAAATATACTTTTTGATATATATAAGGAGACAACACCTAGTGATCCATTGCAATTGTCAAATGAGCCAATAACAAGATCAAAGGCCAATAAGTTTAAAGAATCTCTTAGTGGGTTGATCCAACAAATACGGGCTAATCTTGAGGAAATCATTTCCAAATTTATTCATGATCAGAATTTAGTTAATGCCATCAATGCAAGGGAGGTTGAATGGAATGAGTAGCAATTTTCAATGTCAATTAATACTTAGTGGGGCTGATAGCATTTTCAATGTTATTAATGCTTAGTGGGGTTGATTCACATTTCGAATGTCAATAATGTTTAGTGGGCTGATTAGAGTCTTTTATTTTTTTCAAGTTGTCAACTTTAAATTATTGTCTTTTCATTTGCTAGTCTTTTCCTATTGTTGGAGGGATGTTCCAAGTATAAATATGGGAGAAAATAAGTCTTGTAATCAGATTTTGAAATTATAATATAATAGAGAGATTTCTTCTCTTTTGTTCTAATTTAGAACTTTGAATTTATCAAAGAAATTTGTTTTTGTGGCATTCAAACTAGACTTATCACTCACTTTCTTCTTTCTTGAGTGTGACATCTTTATCCTTCTTATACATTTAGTTCTTATCTTCCATAGATAATGGATCAAGATTCTTTATTTCTTGTTTTAAATTACTGATTGTAGAAATGATCCTAATTAAATTGGTCTTAGATCTCACTATTCTTGGTGAGGTTCATATCACTTTTGGTCCTTAATTTAAATTTGTTAGAAAAAAGTACTTATATTAGTTTTTTTAGGAACTAATATGAGTCTTCTTTAAATTTCAGAGGAATCACAATTTTAAAAAATTGAAATTTCATAGAAATTATAAATCGAATTTTACTTTTTAAGGAATTAAAATAAGTTCATATATTTACCAAAAAAAAAAAAATAAGTTGGTATTTTTTTTTATTGAGGATAAAAAATATTTACTCAAAAAATTTTGTATGAAAGATGAAAATTAAGGTGAATAGATTAGAGGAGTGAAGCGGTGAAAGATGTTGGATTAAATACGCGAGGACCCGAAAGTGACTTTTAAAATCCTCCGTCGTCGATGCTCTTTCTCTCTCTTAACTCTCATTCCGCAGAATCTTCGCGTTCTGAAATTTCCCTTCACATCTAAATCCCGCAACCCACTTTTCCTTTTTCGTTATTAATATTATTATTATTATTGATATTGATAATCTCACTCTTCTAAATCCACATTATTTATTTAATTCCCATTGCATCTTCTACTCTTCATTTCGCTTCTCTCTCTGTCTCTTTCGTTTTCCTCAATCTTCTTCTTCCTCCTCCTCTCTGCAACTCACAAAACAAAATCTTCATCAACGATCTGAATTTTGAGGGCAATAAATAAGAAAAAGATCCAAATGGGTTCGGTTCCTGCAGAACTGAGCTTGGATTTAAGACCTACTTTTGTTCCCAAAACCATCACTGATTTCCTCTACGACCTCTCCACAATCCCATGTGCCCCCGATAAGCTCTCAAGGCTCAACGATTTCCTCGCCCGATTGGAAGACGAGCTCAGAAAGATCGACGCTTTCAAACGCGAGCTCCCTCTCTGCATGCTCCTCTTAAACGACGGTTCGTTTTGATTCCCATGATTTTATTTTGTTTTGTCAAATGGGGTTCTGTTTTATTCCTTTTGAGTCGGTGATATCAGATAAAAAAGTTCTCAGCTTTGGAGCTTGTAGTTCAATTGGGCTTATGCAATTTTTTTTTTTAATTTTTAATTTTTATATTTTTTTTTTTGTGTTTGCCGCTATGCCAGCAATTTTAGCTTTGAAGGAGGAATCGGAAAAATGCAGGCCTCATAATTCTCTGCCAGTGTTGGAAGAGTTTATTCCCTTAAAGAAAGAATGTGATCAGATTGAGGAAAACAATAACAAGGACAATGAATGCAGAGATAAGAAGAATTGGATGAGTTCTGTTCAGCTCTGGAACAACACTACTACAAATAATGTCTCTGATAAAAAACAACAACATCATAAATCAGAAACCAAGGTACAATAATTAAAGAAGAAGAGTATATTCATTTAAGGGGTGCTATGACTCCCTTTTTGAATCTAAAAAAGGAGAATACAAATACCAAGTTCATTTAAGTAATCTTAAAGAGGGTTAATTTTTTTATTTGATGATGACAGATAAATGAAGAAGAAGGGCAATCTGTGGCCGAGGACCCTTTCCAATCTTGTAGCAATAGAAATGGAGGAAGGGCTTTTATGCCTTTCTCCACTTACCCTTCTGTCCCTACCACAACAGTGGCACTGACAGCAACCAAAGAAGAGAAGGAAGGCACTGTTTTGAATAGACTCTCTCTTCTAACCCCTGGGGTTAAAAGCTTGAGGGGATCCAGAACCAGCTCCAACAGGGTAGTTCCTTCATCTCCTCCTCCTATTCTCCACACAAGCTTGCGTGCAGGATCGCTTCAGCAGCAACAAAATTCTAGAAAACAAAGGAGATGCTGGTCGCCAGAGTTGCACCGTCGATTTGTTAATGCCTTGCAGAAGTTAGGAGGTTCTCAAGGTTAGAATTTGAAACTTTTTATCAATCTTGGGATGAATATCAGTAACTAGTATCTTCTACTATTTTTGATCTATGTGTATTTCACTTTCTTAAACTAGAAATGTATAATTAGTTTACATCTTTTAATATGGGGTCTCATAACGCTCAATTTTGACCGATTTGGAAAATTATAGATTAGTAAATGGATGGATGTGCCAAAAGTGCATACCAGTCTTAAAAAGTTCAGGGATTTGATGTTCTGTTTAGTACACGACTTGCTTAAAGCTAGATCAGCCAAGAGACAGATAGAGTTTTATATGTATTGTAGTCATATCATCTGTCAATGTTTTGGTATATTAAATCCAAGTGATTCATCTTTGCGTACACAGATTTGGCAGGTCATAATAATATTACATCTTGTTTGGTTCATTTGTGTAATTAACTTCTCTGCGTTCAATGAATTTCAGTGGCAACACCAAAGCAAATTAGAGAACTCATGCAGGTTGATGGCCTGACCAACGATGAAGTGAAGAGCCATTTACAAGTGAGTTCTTTGTATTTTTATTTTTATTTTCTCTCTTTACTGCATGCATAGTTGTTTGGTGATGAGGCATTTAGGAATATAAACGCTGAGATTTACATGTCTTGTGAAGTTTGGATTGGGGATTAATATATGTTTCTTTATTATTGCAGAAATACAGACTTCATACGCGGAGACTTCCAGCTTCAAGTGCTAATCAGCCTGTTGTAGTTCTTGGAGGTTTGTGGATGTCGCAAGATCAGTACAATGACTCTTCAAAAGGTAGCAGTTCGGTGTCTGGTTCCCCTCAAAGTCCCCTTCATTTAGCTTCAGGATCACGGGGACGGACATCCCCAACTGAGGGTGACAGCATGGAAGACGATGAAGATGCAAAATCCGAGAGTTATAGCTGGAAAAGTCACATTCACAGAGCTGGAAAAGTTGATGTATAGATACTCTCCACCATGAAATTTTGCAGATAAAGTATACATGGGAGGAGTTTTACAACTACAAAAGAATAATATATGATACATAAAAGAGGGTCAACGCAGAGAGAGGCTATTGGAGTTTTTGAAGGTTTAGCTTTCCCTTTATACTAGTTGAGTTTTGATTAGAAACTCCGAATTAAAACCCTTTTTCTCCACGTTAAGAAGAAGGTCATTTTTTTTTCCATATCATGAAATTCTTTCATTTCTTTTTGTAACAAGAACTCTGTGATGCCCCAGAAGATATCAATTATTCCAATGTTTAGATGGGTCTCTGCATGTTTTTATTGAATATTGGCGTTTCATGATTGGACATAATTGCTGGATAATTTCTTCTCTTGCTTCTATTTACACAAATAAATCACTTCACAAATTTCAGAGATATATTATCCTGATTATTCACTTTATTCAAATGTCTTGCGTTTTATAAAGTTTTAGTCAATTTGTCACGGATAACCTCCAGTTATTGGGTTCAGTGGAATACTTTTCGTCACAGTTCAATATCTGTTGTAAGACACAGCAGGACAGATATTTGCTGCGTGGTCCAACGGGTTCAATAGCCGTTGTGAGACATAACGGAGTTCTCACGAAAATTGACTTAGAGATTGAAACATCTAATGATGCCCCACCATATCCCCTCCCTTGTAATAAATGCTAGTATGCGGATGAATTGTTCCTCCTTATTATCGCTCTTAGCAATCGAGACTCGCATGCAAGCATTTATTAGAAAAGAGAGGGGATGCTGGACATTAGTTGTTACATTCTTTCACTTTTATTTTAACAAATTTTTGTGGGAGTTCGATGGTGTCAGATAGCGGGTTTTGAACGTTGCGATACATGACAGAAAGTTTGTCAATGAGCCTAATAGCAAGACTTTGTCCATCTCAAATTTAACAATTTTTTCCAGAAATGTGCATTTGGATAATTAATTTGCCAAAATGTCTCATTTTGGTTGTTGTCCCTTAATAAATAAGGTGTTGATTGACCAATTATATTATACATTTAAGAATTTTATATAATTTTTACATCACTTTTTTAGACAATATATAGATAAAATCAATTTATTCAGGTAAAATTAATAAATCTTATACTCAACCTTAGCCATTGATTTTTGTTTATCAAACGGCTATAATTAATTGGATTATTCTTATTAATTACTAATAAATTATAACTATTAGATATATAAAATCAATGGTTAAGATTGTAATATTTATTATTCTTACACCAGTATAAGAAAATTTTATATATATAGGGTAAAACTAATCTTATGTTGCATAAGAAGGTGTATCTTATGTTGTGAAACAAAATCAAGGTGGATCTCACTTGATTTTTTTTCTTTTTTTCTTTTTAGTATGACCCATCTTGATTTTATTTCACAACATAAGATACACTATCTTATGCAACATAAGATTAGTTATATATATATATATATATAGAGGTAGGATCCTTTGACAACGGTGTCAAATTTCAATTTTGACACCTCATCTCAGAACCGTTAAATAAAAAAAAATCAATTACTCTGATTTGCAAACATGTGACACCATTGATCTAACGGCTTTGAGATGAGGTGTCAAAATTGAAATTTGACACCGGTGTCAAAGGATCTTACCTCATATATATATATAGGGGCATGATCATCTTACACCGGTTAGATGCACGGAAATCAACGGTTAAGATTTGGTGTAAGAATTATTATTCTTACATCGGTGTAAATTGATCATATCCCATATATATATGATTGAGAGTGTAACTTACACTGGTGTAAAATGATCATGATCCTCTATATATATATATATATGTAAAATGATCATGATCCTCTATATATATATATATGTATATATATAGAGAGGATCATGATCATTTTACACCAGTGTAAGTTACACTCTCAATCTTGACCATTGATCCTATATATATTTAACGGTTTTTATTTATTTATTAGATTTTTGAGCTGTTAGATAAAAATAAATTAATCATCAAGATTATAACCATGTATTTCCGAGAATACATAATTATAATCGGTTGCTAATGTTTTTTTTTTTTTTTGCAAGCAACAGAAGAAAAAAGAAAAAAAGGGACCCATAAATTATATGAAAATTTTTTATAAAGTGAAAAGATATAATTATGATATTTAGCTAAATTCAATGTAGAAATATATTAAAGCAATTACAGTAGAAGTGAGGTACAAGTTACACGTTTATTACCATCTCAGATTTTAGGAATTGTTTGCTAATGTAGATTTTTTCTCCTCCTTCATCTATTGGATTAGCACAGATGTTCCCTTCAACTTGCAGATCCGGATTGTTTTGGATATACAAGATGACATGACACAGGGAAACTCATCTCTTCCTTGTAAAATTATTTCATGTCATTATCCCTAAGATACTCACTCTATCAATATAATACTCATTAATGAGGGTTGCTGTTTGTATTTAATTTTATAACAACTCCATTACTGAGGTTGACTTGTGTCTCCAAATTCTTCCTTTTGTACATAGGCGTGGTCTAGGAACAGCAAGCAAGAGGGAAAACATCTATTCCTTCTTTCTTTCTTTTTGAGTCCAGATATGGTGTATGGAAATCAGAAAGAAAATATTCACTTGGCCACCATTTCTGCATTTATGTTCAATTTGCAGCATCTCTTTGGGGCTTTGTCATTAGCACTGAAATCTAATTCATCCAATACACTAAGGGACAGCATGAAAAATCAAGTTTTAGTTCAAATAGAAAAGTATTTGATATTTTTTGTTTAATATTTACTAGAAGTGAAATTAAGCAAAAATATTATAAATTCAATATATAAGATATCACTGGATCTGGATATGTTTAAAACCAAACATTTTTATTTAAATTATAAAATAATGTTAGTTGTCTTTAATATTATATGTCAGTAGTTTCTTTTATATATATATATATATATATATATATATATATATATATATATATGAGGTAGGATCTTTTGACACCGGTGTCAAATTTAGATTAAAAAATATCAATGGTGTCACATGCTTACAAATCAGAGCCATTGATATTTTTTGATCTAATGGCTCTCAGATGAGGTGTCAAAGGATCCTACCTCTATATATATATATGAGGAGGGATATTCTCACTACAAATCACCATTGGATTAATATTTTCTCTCTCTTCAAATTTTTTTTAGCATTTTCTTTTTTTGATCCAATGGTAATTAGATAGGTAGTAAGTTGGTAGTGAAAAATTTTGGTAGTGAGAATATCCTCCTTCTATATATATATATATATATATATATATATATATATATATATATATATATATATGGAAAAGGATATTGTAACAACCAAGTTATGTTATCACCAAGTTACTATCAATCAATCTCACCGTTAGATTGATTATGTTAATCCAACGGTTATATTTATTTTCATCTTTGTATGGTCATGATTTTCCAAATTTAATACTTTATATTTATTTTCACCTTTGTATGGTTATGATTTTTCATATTTAATGCTTTCACTCTAAATATGGAGAATCATAACCATACAAAGATGGAAATAAATACAACCATTAGATCAACATAATCGATCTAACGGTGAGATTGATTGGTAGTAACATGGTAGTAACACAACTTGATTGTTACAATATCCTTCCCCTATATATATATATATATATATATATATATATATATATATATATATATATTTAATATTACTTGTCACTTGATTTTTTTAATAGTTGGCGTATGAAAGTTGAGCAAGTGAGGATGAGAGCATGTGTTCAATCCTCCTCAGTATCATCTTTGAAGGCTTTAAAACTTTTATCCTGGATCCGCCTCATATAGGATTGCCTCTTGTGAAAGATACCTATGATTTATCTAAAGAAAAAATTGAAATTTTAATACAAATTGGATAAACATTGCACTCTTATTTTTTAGGTAAATTATTATTAAAGTGACAAGTCTTTCAATCATATAATATATATTATTGCATTCATTATCTTAATTAGTCAAAGGCTTGAACTTCAAACCTCATTTTGTCCTTTTAACCTAACCCTAGTATCCCACAAGGAAAAAAAAGAAAAATAAGTCTGTTATTAATGTTTATCACGGATCAAGGTTCATGCATGACAAAAGAGTCACTTTCACAAGCAAGATGATAGTGGAGAATCTTGCAAACAAAATAATGAAGGAGCCCACAGTGATATCCATTTATAATTATGGTATGCTTTGTCTGTTTGGTGAAATGCGGGAGTGAAAATGATAGAATCTCTCTCATTATCTTTCCCTTCTAAACCAGGTTCACCTTATCACAACCACCTACCATAATTAATTAAATATCTGGTTAGATTTCAAAAATCTTAACAGTATTTTTTTATACCTTTGTTGGTAATATAATAAATAATATAAACATGCAGAATCGCAAATCACATGGCAGATTATATATATATATATATATATATATATATATATATATATATATTCATACTATTTCATTTCCCTATTATCATCCACTATGATTATGTACTCTATAAAATACATGGTTATAGTGGATGGTAGCAAAAAAATGAAATAGTATAAATATTCTTTCTATATTATATATGGAGAGAGATAGATAGAATATTTTACTCCGGTATAATTTTTTATAATAACAATCTTAGTCGATTCTAATTTATTAGGTATGTGAATTATTAGATATAAGTACATTAATAATAAAAATTAAATATAAAATTTCTTATTTTTACACCAATATAAAATTAACGTGCTTCAAAGACAAGGTGCGATCCCACACAAGAAGAAACATTGTTAAGAAAGATTCTTTGAAAGACCAGCCAACTGGTAGTTTTCCATCGTGATATGTATGGCATGAAATTGTATAAAACAAGGAAATAGCACCAAGAGTCTGTCTACACGTGGAGATGCGTTTGGCGAAAAGGCCAACCACCACCCACCAACGCATAATAAAATTTAATCTTTTGACCTAACTTGTTTTGGTTTGGCTTCCAAAATCTATTTCAAATTTGCTTGTATTGTTTGTGTCTCTCTCTTGTAATTTGTAGGGAATCTTGCGAATATGATGGGACATGAACAGGGGACAAGTTCATATAATAATTTCAAATCTTAAATTGATTGCTGAGTTTATGAACATTTTTTTCTTCTTTTATGATAAGTGATATTGGGTATAGTATCTTTCTTAATTTGCGTTTCTATATTTTGCAGCTAGAAACTTAGTAAGGAATTGTTGATTTGTAAAAGCCAGCATCGATATGATGGGAGGAATGTTGGAAGAAATAGTTATCATCTAACTCAAATAAATATTAATAAGATATATCTTGCCAAAGGGTTAAAGTGATACTAAATCCTTTCCGACTATTTAATTCTAAAGTCGAATCTTAATCCCTTGTAACAAAGAGAAAACCATAAAAACCTAAAGAAAAAAAGTCCTGTTTTTATTTATTGTGTTGAAAGCAGTGTTGAGAAAATCGGCCCGGCCGGCCGGTCCGACAGGTTGGCCCGCAAATTGGCCCATCAACCGGTCCGAATCTTGCAACGGATCAGATATGTAATTGACCCGGTGAACTGGTCGTGAACCGTGGTTCAATTGGTATAAACCTTCGAACCGGTTTTGGAAAAAATAATTCCAATTTTGGAGCTACTGGGGTTCAAACTTGAGTTTCATGAGTATCCCCAACACCAACTTACCTTTGCGTGCCGAAGTTTTTTTTTTTTTTGCTGCGGGTCCCACAAAATGTTGTGTGTGTAGGAAATTTTTTGTGGTCATGTTAAATGATAGATGATAAACCCTATCATATTATTTAAAATTGCATCTAGTGGGAATCGAACCCTTGTTGTGAAGATATAAAATATAATATTTACCACTAAGCTACATTTGGTTCTTAGTTGACTTGCACCATTTAAAATATTTATTATATAATTAAATATAAAATATAAATTTATATACATATCCGATTCATGCGGTTGAAGACCCACTAATTAAACCAGTGACCTAGTACTCCGACCGAGTCGATCACCCGTCCCAATTTAATAACATTGGTCGAAAGAAATGTACACCTGTTAGGCCAATGATGAAATTGACGTGTCTGTTATTAGGCTTATTAACATGAAAAAATAATTTTCTATCTTGGAGGACAGGGTTTTTTTTTTTTTATTCTCTCTCACTTGTTAATCACCATACTGTACATTTACACGTGCTATAGTAAAACTTTAGAAGTTAACAAAAGTAAAGTGGGAAGAAACGGGTTGAGCCAAACAGCAACAGTTATAGCTAAATAAACAGTTACAGCAACAGTTATAGCTAAGTAAACTTGATTTGGATTTTATGATTATTATAATAATTTCAAAAATTTATAAAATAAATAAAAATTACATATTTTTTGAGTATCAATTTTCAACCTGACTCATTGAGATAATAATAACACAATATGAAAAATTCATGTATGTGTTAGACCAATTTTCAAATTCATATCGTGTTGATTTTAAAAAAAATTTTACAGAAAATTTGTATCTTCATGTTATGTTGTGTCGTGTCAACATGTACAATAAACACACACATTGATGTTGACATGTTATTCGCGTTGTATTAATCCGCATAATAAATGACAAACTTTAAAATTGGTGGGTTATCATGTAGTATTAATATGCAAAATAAGCGGGTTATATTATTGTTAAAGTTTTGATCCATTTTTAAATTCGTATCGTGTTTGCAGTGACTGTATTTATATTCATGTCAAATTAGTATCGTGTCAACTTGAAATGTCATCCTTAAATTATATCCTCGATCCAAAAAAATAAAGAAATTATTTGCTCATATAGATTTTTGACTTGCGAGTTCAGATTGTTTTAAGTAAGGAGGCCGAAACAACATTCATTTGGACAAAAGTGTTGGCCTGGGCCTTTAAATTGGATGGTTCCATTTTAAGAGTTCATTGGGCTTCCGAAGAATGCCTGTCCAAAATGCTTGTGATTGTGGATTAATGATGTATATGTGAGTTCTCCATTATAACTTACACGCGAATATATAAATATTTCAATTACTACTAGAAGTAAGGATTCTGTGCAGCTCAATTCTTACCGCAAATTGCACCAAAAAGAATATATCGGTATACATTAGTAGAGTGATTATTACAATATTTATAACTAGTGGAAATGGCAATTAAAAGAGTACCAACGAAAAGCTTAGATGTATTAGCAAATGAATTGTTTCGATGTAAAGAAAGTCAAGAAGGGTTTAACCTTTTATAGTTAAAAGAAGGGTAAAGTATTTCTCCGATCAATAGAGATAAGTTATCTCTGGTGAGTACAAAACGATGTTATTTTGTGGTGAAAATCAAGATATTTTTGTAATTCTAATTTATTGTAGGGTTATATTAGTCTTTATCATTATAATTTTTTAGTGTTACAACCAAAACGACGTTGTTTTGGACTCACTGGACATTGAAATACTTTTCTCTTAAAAGAATTAGTTTCACATTGGGATGTGCATGGGTCAAACCGAACCGAATTGGTTTAAACGGTTCGGTTCGGTTCAAAACTGGTTCGGTTTGACAGTAGTTCGGTTCAGTTGGAAACGGTTCGGGTCGACTCTATTTTGAAAATAAAAAAATAAAAAAAATAAAAAATAAAATTATAAAAATCAATTTGGTTCGGTTTGAAAACGGTTCGGTTCGGAAACAGTTCGATTCTTAAACTGGTTTTAAAAACCGGTTCGGTTCATGACCCGGTTCTTTAAAAATCGGTTCGGTTCATGAATTGTTTTTTAAAAATCAGTTATTGTAAGTGCAGTTCAGTTTGGTTCATGGTTCAGTTCAGTTTTTTGATTATTTTGCACACCCTAATTTCACATGTAATATATGAATAAGTGACAAAAAAAGAAGAAGAAAAGAAGATACAATTAAATAGTGTTATTGAGGGAGGTATTTATTATTATTATTATTAATATTAAGAAAGGATGTTATCAAAAAAAAAATATATATTAAGAAAGGAAATTAGTTTTGACTATATCTAAATGGCAACGATGAAAGAAAGAAATGATTTGAGGAAGGAGCATGGTTTGAGGGATTTGCAAAATGGAAGGGGAAGATGGGGACCACTTTGGGAGAATAGTAACCTTAAAAGATTTAGTCAAAAGCCCACAAGTGACGGTTGTGTGTAAGAAAGAGGTGCCCGTCTTCGGGCGCGAAACGTGGATTCAATATCGAAAGAAAAAGCAGTTATTAAGCTTCAACGAAACACAACACTACGTTTCACAATCACATATACAACAACAACCATTCTCACAATCCACACACATACACGCACAGAAACACACACACACACAGAGAGAGAAAGAACAATCGAAGAGAAGAAGCTAAAGAAAAATAAAGAATGGCACAGGCACAACCAGAAGAGAAGATCCACGAGAACCCAGAAAAGGATATCCAAGAAACAGGGAATTCCAGCTTCAAATTCAATGCCCAAGCTCCTGAATTTGTTCCAAGATCGCAAACCCAAATGCCAATTTCGGGTTATTTCTATCCCTGCTTCCAGATTCTTGGTGGGTCTGGTGATTCTGATTGGTTCTATGTTGGGGATCAAGACCCTGCATGTTTCATCCCCACTGCCAATGTTGCACTACCAAATTACTCCAAGAATATCCTTACCCCTGATCTTCAGCAAAAGATTGTCAAACAGGTAGATTTATTTTTATTTTTCAATCAATTTCAAATCACAAAGCATTTTCCTTTTTCTTGAGTAATCTTGCTTGTTGGATGACTTTTTTTATTTAATTACTTTATTTGGATGGTTATTAAATTTTATTAATGCAATTCTTGAGAAGAAGTGGATTTACATTGTGAACAAAATGAGATTTTGATTAACCCCATTGTGTGAAATGGAATTGATGTTTGCATATCTGATGAAGGGGTTGTTTTAGTTTCAATTCTTTGATACAGAAATCAATTCTGGAGGTTCTTGTACGAATTTTGTTCTTTGTAACGTGTAAAACTTTCATTGCTTATCAAATTTAAAGATGGTGTGGATTGTAATAGGTGGAGTATCAGTTCAGTGACATGAGCTTGCTAGCAAATGACTCTTTCCAGAAACAGGTGAATAAAGATCCTGAAGGTTATGGTAAGGATTTTGGAATGTTGTTTTATCAAAATTTTGACTTTGTTTAGGGTTCCCTGTCCCTCTTGCTTCCAAGATTGGAATAGTCTCATTGATGGATGTTGGTTTTGCCACAGTTCCAATAACCCTCATTGCTTCCACAAAGAAGATCAAGTCCCTCGTTAGTAACGTTCATCTGCTTACCCAAGCTCTCCGTTCATCGTCAAAACTTGTAAGTATTTTGGATTGAATAAGGCTTTGTTTTGGTCTTTTTCAGTTTTCTCTCTGACAATGCAATTTTTCAAGGTTTTGAGTGCTGATGGCAAGAAGGTTAAACGTAAGCATCCTTTCACTGATAAGGAGAAAGAGGAATTGCAGGTAAAGAAATGAGATGTCCTTTTGTCCACATGGATCATCTCAAAACTTCTTCCAATTGTAGCATAATGCAAAGTGTTTTTCTTTTCTCTTGTAGTCTCGTACTGTTGCGGCAGAGAATTTACCTGATGATCATTCCAATCAAAATCTTCAGAAAATATTTAGTGTAGTTGGGAGGTGGGTTTCTTCGGCCCACCCTTTGTTTAATTATATGAACTTAACATTCTTGCAGTTTCTTACATCTTGAAAACAATGTAATTGGTGGCTGTTGTGTGAACAGTGTGAAAACGATCAGAATATGCCATCCTCAAGAATCTAATTCTTCCCGCCCAAAAGGTGATTTCTTCGTCAGTAACAAGGTATAGAAACAACTTCATACCATATTAATATGTTGTATTGGTAGTTGTGGAATCAAATGATACTTAAAAGAGATTTTCTTACCCTTTGTTGCTTGTGCCTTCAAGCTCCATGCACTTGTGGAGTATGAGACATCAGATATAGCTGAGAAAGCTGTGAGTCAATTCTTCAAGAACTTTAGCTTTAAGAAGCATATGATTCAATTATTACATCACTAACAGGGACGGCCTTTCTTACTTGATTAGGTTGAGAAGTTAAATGACGAAAGGAATTGGAGGAAAGGGATGCGAGTCAGGATGCTGCTTAGATGCTCGGTATGTACATTTGTTGTGGCATCTGTTTAATTTCATATGCTGCTTCTTTATGGGTTTTTTAATGTAAATTGTGCAGCCAAAATCTGTATTGAAGAGTAGAAAGTCGGAATTTGATGGCTATATAGATGACGATGAGATACTTCATTCTGAAACTGCTGAGGATTCTTCTCATCCAAACAACACTGAATCATTTGGTGAGACTAATGTAAGTATCATGCATGCATAGCCTGTCACATCGGATATGTGGATGTGTTGGTCATTTCTTTCAAGTCTTTCAGTTATCTCAAATCTCAAATATGATATAAATTCAGGGCATTCTTACAATTCATATATGCATGAAAGTAAATTGTGCAACTCTTATTTGTATGCTGAGCCCTTTTTGCAGGAAACATAAGCTTCTTCTCTTTGCATGCATCCCACATTATGACAGATATCTTGAATATAGTCATGTTCTTTTAAAAAATGATGCATTGAGCACTTTTGTTCATTCAATCAATATAACAAGTCCTGACATGAGGCTATTGTATTTTTTTGATAACATCGAAGGTTGATGAAAATTCAGTAGGATCTAAGAAAGGATGGGCTAGAGGACGTGGAAAGGGCAGAGGACGCACTCAAAGCCATACTGGACGTGGCCTTCTTGCCCCACCATCTCAATCAAGTAGCATTGTCCTGTGTGAAGCATCTACTAAACTCAACACTAAGGGCCCAAGAATGCCAGATGGGACAAAAGGTTTCACCATGGGACGGGGCAAGCCAATTAGTTCTGCTCTAGCCACTTCACCTCAGGCGTAAGGGGTACTTCTGAAGCTTTACCCTATGCTCTATAGTGAATTTTAGGAAATTTCTTTGTATTTCTCACCACAGTATTCAAAAGCAGCAAACTGATTTAGTAGTCTCTATTATGCGGGCTACTGGGGAGGTCCCAATCTTTTAGATGTTACCAATTTAGTAATAATTCATGATGTATAGTGTAGTATGGTGGCATGGTGAATCCTGATGACAGCCGCCACATAGATACCAAACTCTGCTTTCTTAGCTTGCAATTTAAATGAGGTATATCGTTTTAATGTCACAAATTCAGTGCTTACTGTTATTGTACACTAACATGTTTTATGAATAAGAGACTTAGGAGTCAAAATTCTTCTTCTCTTTGTCTATGTGAACTTATTTATGATCCATCCTTCGCCATGTGAACTTAATGCCCCCTTAAATTCTCCTTCGCTTCTTTGCTACTCTAGGTTTTAAACAATTGTCATGACATTATCGAGGTTCAATTTGGAAAGCATGCATGACCCCCCACTTGATCTTTTTGTCCTAGGAAATTCTGAAGGTGGCAACAACACGAGAAGTGAGGTTGAATTATGCTCAACTTTTCTTATCTTTTTTTAACAGATCATGTAGTCTCAAGTTTCTCAAATTGGATATCATAAGATTTAGTTGCAAAAACACAAAGTTAATATATCTTGCTTTAGGTCAATGACATATAACTCAATTTTTAACCTTCAAAGACTTACTTTAAGCTTCAGAAAGATAGATCACTTAATCCGAAGTATGATCAACAATAAATCAATAAAATAGTAAATTAGGAGATGGGTTAGAGAACTTAACACAGAAGATTTACTCTAATTCGGATAATCACTTGCCCTAATCCTCAACAAACCACTTAGCTTTTTTTTTATAATCATGATTATTCTTTATTTTCATCGTACTCTTTGGAAGCTAGATTACAAGCGGTCTCTAAAACGCATCCTCTTCAAGCTAAATACTCACTTTGATCACTAACGGATCAAGGATACAAGTAAAAGATAGAGTTTGGGTGTAACATTCCCGTCTCAAGCCAGTTCAATTAGCATAGATATGATACTAAAACATGCATCAGCGGAAGACTTAACTTATAATCTTGCATTAGCTTACGAAAATACGAGCTAACTTTTTTCTTTTTTTATTTTGTTTCACATGATACATAGCCTTACGTCCATTCTTTCTTATCAATCTTAATTTCTTTTCTAAACTTTCATCTTTCATTAGTGACCATATTCAATGGCCCATGACCATGTGGATATGACAACAAGTATCAATCCAAACGGAGTTTAAAAGCGGACAATGTAACGGCTGTAAACCGAACAATTAGGGATTAAATCCCACACTCATAATCCATACCTGATAAACATATAATCTCAGACATATCATATAATGATATATTGTCCAACAACGGACCTAATACCCGTAACATCCCCATCTCGAGCCGGTTCAGTTAACACACATATGATACTAAACGTGATCAGCGGAAGACTTAACTTACAAAATACGATCTAACTTTTTCTTTTCCTTTTATCCATTTCACATGATATATAACAATGCATAACTCCTTCTAAACTATTTTTCATTTGACGGAGAAGGAAATCGGACAGAGTAACAGCTGAAAACTGGACAAATGGGGATTTACGAATCCCAGTCTCAAGGTATCCGGATACAGTTTATGCAATCTATGATTTCAGAAATAACATATATCCATCAAGGATCACATACCCATCCATGGGCGCATGCATAAATTGACTTTGATGCCACTAAGTCTAGCAGCATGCATAACCAACACATACACATATATCTGAATACAACATCATCATATAAGCATGCATGAATACACAATTGTATATGCATCAAAACTGAAAACATGTACAAGAGATATACATGCCATATACAAGTAACAGATCAGACATCATGATCCCAAAATAATGAAATACTAAAGCAACATAAATGTCCACCAAAATATCAGTAGCCTATAGCTACTCAAAATATGGCCCGTCGCAGCACCTTTAAGCACGGGTCTTGTCCCTGTCTCGTGAGGGGTCACTGGGAATCTGAACACCTGAAATGATGTCCCCAAACGGGGTGAGATAACTAATCTCAATAAGCTCCAGGTTTATAGAGAATTCTCCATACCTTGGGCCCACTCCTGGATGAAAGTCAGATACAGAGTATACAAGGCATCATATAAACAAATATCATAACTGAACAAAATATATATACATATCTTATCAGAGGTGTACGCAGTCATTCCCAAGGGAGGACCCCAAGCAGACATCAGTGCACATAGAATCAATGGCCAAAGATCATTACAGAAATCACATCAGAATAAAACATATCATATTATCATATAACTCTATATGAATGCATCTATACAAAGCATCAAATACAATCATACAATCCAACCATAGTCCACTAACCATGATGGAGCACACAAGTAGGAGAAGACTCCTTAAACATAGAGCTTACCTCTTGGAGCTTTACCAATTTGCTTACTTGTAGCACAAGTTACTTATCTTGCTCCAAAAGAATCCAAATGCTCACAGTCCCTAGGCACACCCAGAGAAGGAATTCAAAACAAAACTCAATAAAATGATACAATGTCATGTAATTACACAAGACATACACTTTATTGTTTACTTCCATTACTTCACACTTATGCCAATTATATGCCAATTCACAAGTCAAGACTGTAATTTCTTATGCTAACTTTTTAGACCATTTAAAGATGATTGCTTGCGTGATTGCTTGCCCCACAAGCAACCACATGGTTTTATACCTACATAGGGCCTTAGAATGACCCTACAAAGCTTCTAAAATATTTTTTTCAAATTTTAACATTTCCTAGCCCCAAAAATCCTACAATGGCTGAAGCCAAGACCTAGGGAAAGCTTGGGATTTGCATCAAATTAATTCACACAACCAATAGTTCCTAGAACCCATACTTGGCCCTTAAGTTACTTATGTATCCATATAGCAATTTAAGCACAACTTTTGCCCACTCTTCCTTCACAAGGCCTAGGGCACCCATACAAAGGAACCAAGATGTCTTTCGTCATTTCTTTAAGTCATTTCAGCTTATAATTATAACAATGCAATGCATTTGAATGTCAACACATCATCAAAACAATTTTTACATAACCACATCCTATAGGAATCTTAATGGCCGAATTCCAAGGGAAGGTTTTCATTGAGTTTTTTTCTTTGTACTCTCAATCTAACCACTTAATTCACATCTTACACATACATATAACCTTCACCAATTATGCAATTAAATTTTTGCATACCAAACCCCTATATGCTCAATATGGCCGAACCCTTTATGGTGGTCCAAGGGGATTTTTTTTCAAAATTTATACACATATTAATGCTCATCTCACCTTAACACTTCATATACAACACTAGTCCATCAACAAAATTCAAATTTCAAACTAAATAATTTTCCACCAAAAGTGCTTATATTATTCAAAACTTAAATAATGAAAATCAAATCATAGAAATAGAGATTTCTTACCTCTAATCCCTTATAGAAAGCCTAGAGAACAAAACTCAAGCTTGGCTCACTCAAAATCCGCACTTTCACACTTGGATAAATAGTGCCACGAACTGTAGAGGAGAAAGAACTCTTCACACAAGCAATTTCAGCCCAAATCAAGTGGTGGAATTTATTCATAATGATTCCTACTTAAATTTTTATGTCTGGCACTAAAGGTTTTGGTGGCTAGATGAATTAGAAAGAGAGGAGAGAAAAAGCAAACCCTAATCCCCTTCAACCATGGCAGCCGCGGGTGAGAGAGAGAGAAGAGGGAAAATGATTAATGAATAGTAATTTATTTAAGGAACTTAAGTTTATATGGATATGTAGTCTTTTAACGTTTGTTTTCCTCTCACTTAATTTCACTTAAATTGACCGACACTAACTTAAAGCTACTGACGTTTTTTATTTTTCTGAACTCATTTATATTAATTTTCATTTCCTAAGGAACAGTATTAACAATTCACAATAGGGTTTCTACACCGTTTTTAACGAAATGCACTGTGAATCACTAACTGCGCATTGTTGGCACACAAAACAATAAAACTTCTTAACTTATCACTTTTAGGTCTATCATGACTTGTTTGGCATATATTGTACTTTCTTATTCTTATTACATCATTTATTTATTTCTGAACTCCACCGGTTGCTCAAACAGCAGTATAAAATACCCGGCAGAAATACTATTCATGAGATTTTCACGAAAAGTGCTAGACTATGCAACTTTTCATTCTGAACTCATATTTGACATTAGAATTGTCAAATTAGGTCTCTAACATCATTTTGCTCATTTCCAAGCTCTACCGGTTGCTACACAATATTGCAGAATACCCGGCAAAAGACACTGTTCATGACCTAGTCATGATTACATTCAAAATACTCGAAATCACGTTCTAAATCTAATTATGACATTTAAATCCTTAAATTAAATATCTAATTTAAGATTTACCAATTGGGGTTATTATAATACCCATCCATGGGTGCATGCATAATTGGCTTCGTGTCACTATGTCTAACAACATACATATCTCAGCACATACACATATAAGAACACTACATCATCATATAACATACCTGAATAAATCGATGTACACGCATCAAAATCCAAAAATATGTACAAAACATATACAAGCCATACAATATAATGGATCAGACATCATGATCCCAAAATGAATAGAGCAGACTAAATAATAAATACATGTCCTCCAAAATAATAGCAGCTTAATGCTACACACGGATCATGTCTCTACACAATGATGACGAATCATCCAAAATACACACATTCACTATGACACCTCTAGCCACGGGTCGTATTCTTGCCAATATTATTTACTTTTTTTTTATCAATTCTTATGCCAATATTAGGCCATTCATACAAGTCATAACCAGTTTTCTTTTTACTTAATCATATTAGACCATGGGTGTGTGGTTCTTTGTTCAACAAATCCCC